CATGTAGTAGGCACTTAGTAAATATCTGTTGGAGTGAACTGAAGTGAGGAACTGTTTGACTTATGTACTTTCCTGCCCCACTGTTGGGGGTTTGGTCTGTTTTGATATCCAAGACACAGCAAATCTGTGAATTCAGGGCAAACCAGTAGCCCTTGAACAATACCCTGTGTAGAGTTTTAATCTGATTGCAAATATTTTGTTCTTTTTTATGTCTAAATGTGGGTCTTTACTGTTACCCATATTCTGTGTTAGAATTAATTAACCATTTCAGGCACTTAAACTCCTTGTGAATGTCTATCCGTCAGCCTCCCGACACAGAATTTCTCCTTCCCAGTTACAGACCTCCTGCAAGCTTGGTTAGCATGCACTACAGACTCACTGAAGTCTTCAATAAAAATATCGGGCACACCAGAGATAATATAAGAATCCAGTGATGTGCACTGGAGGTCTCTATCCAAGAGACATTGATTAATTATTCACCGCTCTTTGTGTTAGCTGCAAATCTATCTTATTCCATCTTGTATGCGAGGAGAGTCCGAGAGATTTGGTAAATGCCTGTGTAAGACATGCTGTGTCTCTCACATCCTCTGTCCTGTTAACGTATGAGGTTGATCAGTGAAACCTCCTTTCTGTGAACTCCTATTGGCTCCCCAAGTCAGAGATTTTTTTCCAGTGCTTGCAAAAAGGATAAGTTCTGAAATTTGGTTATCATTTTGTTTCGAGCTCATCTATAGTTTGGAGAGGTCACTCTCTTTCTTGTGGGGAACTCCCCACACTCTAGGTTCTAGGTGATTCCCCACCTAGATTCACTGGGGCCAGGTTCCACGTGAAACACTTTCATACTGTCACCTTCTTACCACAGTGGTTGCCCCTTTAGCAGTTTATTTTTTTTTCTTTTGGGATCTAATTGAATTCACTAAAAATACCAGGCACTCTGTCCTAACCCATTTCCAGAAATAATAATCCATACGGATGACACCTGTGCATTTCAGATATGCTACACATGGACCCCAAGGCAACTCATGCCTACCAATTTATGTCATTTTTAGAAGGGGAAAGGAATTATTTTAAGTACCTCATAAAAGTGTGGTATTATAGTAATTATAACACTATCCTTAGTGATGCTTTTTACTTTTCAAATGGCTAAAAAATGAATACTTTTGAAAAATAACAAGTCATTTGTCCCCTTTTTAAAACCAGTGCCATTATTTGTAGTCCCATGTTATGATCTACAGTATCATACTGAGGGAATAGCCAAGTACATCAGGGAGTCAGCTTATTAGATATCTTGCTTTCTCTTTAGTGCCATTTTCATAACTGACAGAGTGAGATGCATCGTTGTACAATGAAAAGAAGACTCCTGTCTCTCCCTCTACTCATACTTACAATACTTCTGACACCAGGTGTGTGGCTTTACTCAGATAAACTGACCAAGTCTCTGATACCAGCTGGGTGTATGACATTTCAATTTAATTCTGACACTGTCAACCTGAAATTAGCATCAGATACCCCAGGTTAATGGCTCAGTTCCACAAGACTGCCTCCGCATCAAATGTCAGTCGTAAGTAGTGGGTCCTTAGGTTACCTACATTTTGTCCAACTTGACTACAAATTGGGAGTTCCCGTGACTGCTCCTCAGATTCAATAAATAATTCACTATCCTGGCTCCCAGAACTCAGGGAGACACCTACGTGTACTGTACGTTATATAATACGGGGTGTGGTAAAGGGTGAACAGCCAGATGAAAGGGGACATTGGGCAAGGTCTGGAGAGTCCGAGGCACAAGAGCTTCTGTCTCCTTCAGGTTGGGGTGCTGGGCCGTCTTGTCATTTGGATGTGTTCACCAGCCTGGGAGCTCTCTGCACCCTGTGGTTCAGGGATTTTTATGGAAGCTTCATCATGTAGGCGTAATCAATTATTAGCTTGATCTCCAAACCCTCTTCCTATTCTGGAGGTTGCGAGGTGGGGCTGAAATTTCCAATCTTCTAATCATGGCTTGGTTTTTCTAGTGGCCAGCCCCCATCTTGAAGCTGTCCAGGAGTCCACCAAGAGTCACCTTATTAGAACAAAAGACACATCTATCACCCAGGGAATTTCAAGGGATTTAGGAGCTCTGTGCCAGGACCCAGGGACAGAGACCAAATGTCAGAACAAAAGCTGCTCCTAGCACCTTCATTGCTTAGGAAACTATAAAGGTTTTCATATCTCTGACCAGGAGTCAAGATGAAGAACAAAGTATGCATTTCTTACTATGTCACTATTTCCTACTATGTCAATATTACATGTATGCATGTATATATTTATTGAAATACTTTTCTGGTTATTTCCTAATGGAAATTTCCTCGAAGTGGACTTTTTGGTCAAAGGGTACCTATTTTTTAAAGCCTTTGATACATAGTGACAACCAGGGGTGTCCAACCTGTGGCCGGTGGGCCACATGCGGCCCAGGAGGACTATGAATGCAGACCAACACAAAATCGTAAATTTACTTAAAACCATTTTTTTTTTGCTCATCAGTTTTCCTTAGTGTTTGTGTACTTAATGTGTTGCCCCAGACAACTCTTCTTCCAGTGTGGCCCAGAGACATCCACTAACTTGATGTGAAATTGTCTTATTCTTCTCAAAGTCACAGGTCTCAGTGTTAAATTGATGGCTTAGTTGGCCTGGAAATCTCAGCCTGATGACGTGGAAAACAGTGTATAATCAACCTCAGGGGAATGGGCTCTTAGGGAACTGCACCCAACTTGTCTGAGGATGGGGACTTGGTTTTACCCTTCTCACAGCTCCTCTGTCCCTGGTTTTCTGATTTCCAGCACTCTCTCACTGTGTGTGGGTTCTCTTATATTGTCACGGGGCACTGCTCTCTCATTTTCAGTTGCACCCGCCAGTTCCCTAGTTCACTGCTGGTTCCTCTTTCCCTTCGGGTGAGTTATTTCACACCAGTCTCCTTCCTGTCTTAAGGATTCTGAGTCATGCGCAGACTCACAGGCCCACCAACACAGCTGGCGTCAGAGCCCCGTAGCTGGACCCCACACGGCAATTCATTTTTCTAAGCTTAGTTCAGTGGAGATGAAAATGGAGTCACTTAGTAACTATGATATTTAGATACATGTGTCCAAATAAAGCTTGAGTTGTTTAAAAATCTGTAGGTTAAAGCTGCACATGAATCAAGTTCAATATTTAGAATATGCCTATGTCATTGCTAGTGTTGACTTTTACATTCATGATTGTTTCGGCAAAGAGGAAGTATTTCTATAAGAAGCGGATCAAGGGTGGGAAAATAAAGATATGGGATTGCTGTTCTGGAGAAATTGACTGGAGTATGGATAGCTATAGGCAATACCACTTAGGGTGTGTCTGCGCCCTGTCCCCCACAAAGGAATCATGCCCTGTGTGACTGCACCTTTTCTCTAACCCACAGACTCAACTGTGGACATTATGCCCTGTTATTAAATTTGAGGCAATCTTTAAAAATCTCTCTGTTCTGCATTTCTATCTCAGGAAAGTATTTTTTAAGATGTTGAACAATAAATTTCCCTTCTCTTTGTGGTTCTCTCTCTTTTTTTTGTCTTAATCTTGAAATTCAGATTCTGAGATCTGTGGGAATTTGTGTTGGGAAATATTTAATACAAATTCTCAAATGCTATGCTTCCCTCCTTTATTTTATTTTTATTTTTTCATTTTATTTTTTAATGTACTTTTTCCATTACCATTTATCTTCCTTAGACCCCCCACCCCACAGTCACCACACTGTGGTCCATGTCCATGAGTCCTTTTTTCTTTTTGCTCCATCCCTCCACCCCCTAATCTCTCAGAGCTGTTATCCTGCTCTTTATCTATGAGTCTGTCTCAGTTTTCCTTGTTAGTTCAGTTTGTTCATTAGATTCCATACATGAGTGAAATCATATGGTATTTGTCTTTTCTCTGACTGGCTTATTTCACTTAGCATAATGTTCTCCAATTGTGCAAATTAAAACCATAGTGAGATATCACATCTCACACCTGTCAGAATGGCTATGTCATCAGTAAGTCAACAAACAACAAGTGCTGGTGAGGATGTGGAGAAAGGGGAACACTTTTGCACTGTTGGCGGGAATGCAGATTGGTGCAGCTACTGTGGGAAGCAGTATGGAGATACCTCAAAAAATTAAAACTGAATCTGCCTTTTAACCCAGCAATCCCACCACTGGGAATATGTTTGAAGAAACCCAAAACACTAATTTGAAAGACCATAAGCATCCCTATGTTCATTGCAGCATTATTTACAATGGCCAAGATGTGGAAGCACCCCAAGTACCAATCAGTAGATGAGTGGATAAAATAACTATAGCACAATTACACAGTATAATTCTACTTGACTGTAAAAAAAGAAGAAAATTTTACCCTTTGCAACAGTATGAAATGCTATGCTTTTGCTCATCTTTTTACATTTGGCTGTGGCTGGTAATAGGATGCTTGCCTGTGAAGTGGAAATTAATGATAATTTCCGGTGCATAATCTGGAAATTTGGTTCCTGTGGCACCATGGGTAAGAGAACACCTTTATGTCTGGTTTGTCCCAACTGTGACCATAGTCACAGTCCTGTGATTTCTTTCTCATGTCCACTGGCTGTGGTTCTGACTCTCGGCCCTGTGGACTTGCCTTTGAACACTCAGCTGCTTAGAAGAACCAGCAGGGAAGCTAGAGTGTTGTCGAGGTGCTTGCACTGGCCACAAAGAGAGGAAAATAGGGTCAGCGCTTATCTGCCTGCCTTCTTGTGAGACCACAAAGTCTTCTGAAAAAATTTGTGTTCTGTTCGCAGTGATTGCTGTGGACAGGAAAATTCCGAGATAGGAAAAATTGATACTCCAAGTATATAGAGTAGCCTGAGGTTGGGAGTCATTTAAAAATAATTATTTGAATACCTTACTTTTTAAAATGATAAATTCCCTCTGATTTCCTTGTGCTTATGTGGGTTTTTTTGTAGCTAATTGTTTTTGTTTTTTGTCTTTTTGTTACAGGCTAAACATACTTTTGACTGGCATGAACCCGTTTTACTTTCATGCGGTAAATGTAATTCTGCACTGCCTCGTGACCCTTGTGCTGATGTACACGTGTGACAAAACTGTCTTCAAGAATCGTGGACTTGCTTTTGTTACGGCGTTGCTGTTTGCTGTGCATCCGATTCATACTGAGGCGGTAAGTGTCACTGGAACTCCATGAAATAACAAAAAAAAAGCTAAACTGATCACTTTTTTCCTTTCAAAACCATGTTAATTTAAAGCTCTATTAAAATGTTTATCTTTATAAATATATATCATTCTGCTTGACAACTTTTCATTTTGAACGTTCAAATGGTCTTTATTGTATCTCCAGGAATTAATTGCTTTTTGAAATAACCACTGTCATTACTACAGGTAGTAATGCATGACCACCATTCTTTATTTGTAGGAAATTTAAGCCATAATGCATTTAAACAACAAGGAGAATTTTGAGATACTTATGCTGGGTCATTGTTCCTGCTCTATCTTTTCTCACTTTGCTTTGTACTTGTGATATTTATGATGCATAATTGTAAGTACTGGGAGGAGGGTTATAAAAAGTTAGACTGATGTTCAAGTTAGAAAGATGGACTTAGGAGACTAACGCATAGTTTTTTCAAATTATCTAATATGAAGTGTAGTTATTTTGTGGAAGATGAGAAATGTATTTATAAAGTTAGATAGTTTAGATCTCTGGTCCTCTTTAAATATTGATTTAATCATGCCCCAACATGGCATTATCAAAGTCACTTTGTTTTACATTTTAGTAACTAGAGTCGATTTATTTTATGTTTATTGCTAGGGGTAGATGAAGACTTTCCAAGGAAGACATGGGCACCACAATTTTAAAACAATTGTTTCTAGAGCCTCAGCTTGCATCTGGACACTTTCCCTAAAGTTGATCTGCCTGAGAACACACCTGGGGTAAAGGTGTTAAGCTGGTTCTCCTCTCCCTCTTCCCCTTTCAATTGCTCTTCTGTAATTTAAAGAAGAAGGAAGAAGGAAGAAGGAGAAGAGGGAGAAGAGGGAGGAGAAGGAGAAGGAGAAGGAGAAGGAGAAGAAGAAGAAGAAGAAGAAGAAGAAGAAGAAGGAGGAGGAGGAGAAGGTCATCTCCCATGCATCAGAAATTTACTATGCACCAGGTGCACAAACTTTGAAGGCACTTACAAAGAAACAATTTCAACCCTGGCCAGGTAGCTCAGTTGGTTAGAATAGCTCCTCCTGATACATCAAGGTTTTGGGTTTGGTCTGTGGTCAGGATACATACAAGAGTCAACCACTAAATGCATAAATAATTGAAACAACACATTGATATTTCTCTTTTTCTCTCAAAGCAACCAACAATTTGATATATTGTTGCCAGCAAGGTCTCCTTCAGTTGAGGCATCATAAACCCCAAGGAGGGCTTCCTATCTGTCTGTCTTATATAACACAAATCCTGTGAAGATTAGAGCATGCCACTGGGAATAGCGCGTGGGGTCCTGTGTTGACATTCTGAATTCAGAAGTGAGATGGCTGTCATGGCGATGCATAATAATATGTTCATTTGGACTGATACAGGAAGTTTGATTTGGCCATTGGTTTGATAATGAGGACTGGTTTTAGACTGTAAGATGGACATTTCCCACAAACAGAATTCTAAATCTATAAGCCCAAGGTTTTAACAAAAATGTATTTAGAGTAATTAAGAAAAATGTCACTTTATTAAAATATTACATTATTAAAGGTAACTACATTATTTTTCCAGCCTTTTCTGAATGTCTAGACTGGACAAGGTGCCCCTAAGTGGAAGACTATGAGGCATAAGTAACAGTCCTTTGGAAAGTCTTGGCAAAGCCTTTTTGCCATGCTCCTGAGAAAAATGACGAGAGTGAGGAGTGAGTGACTAACGACAGGAGCCTGCAGTGATGGGCGTGCTTAAATCACTTGCTTTCAGCCGAATTACGGAGGGCCTGATTGAGTTGTCATTGGCTGGTAGATCATTAAGCAGTATATGAGAGGATAGGTCACTATGGTTTTGTGGATAGCCTTGGTGTTCAAAGAATTCTGTCACTGTGATAACATGGCTGGTTCTATTCCCATTTCCGTGAACCATCCAAAAAAGATGAAAGCCAGAAACTGAACTGATGCTGCATGCTTTCCTAGTCTCACGAAAGGTGGTGTTCAGCCATAGCACAGTGAATTTATTGAAGGGAAGGCTGCTGCGTCTGTTACTTAGAGATCTGTCCTTTATATTTGATACTTATTTATCATTTGTATAATTTATTTATGATCTACTAAACAATTACATATTAATACTAACTAGAAAAATAATACAAAATTAAAAATAATACAGAAACTTATGATCACAAAAAATTTTAAAAACATATTTCATTACATTTGTATTTTATCACAGGGAGAGATGATAAACTAACATGTATTTTTAAGCATAACTGTATAATAATTAAGAAAAATTTTCAAGGAGAAATAAAATGGAACTGTGAGTTCAGGGGAAGTGGAAATGTCCACCACTTACAGAAGAGCTTGTTGATGTTGTTGAAGTTGAAATGAGTTTTAAAAGGCTATGGTACATTTCAGATTCCTTTTGGTACATTTAAAACAGTAGCATTATAGCCTTATTTTACAATGTCAATATTTACAGTGCATGGGAAATTATATTCTTTCTAGTATCTACAATTATGATGAAAAAATTTTGATATGAATTTTTAAAGATGAGGGAGGTAACATAACTTTTTAATATTCTTTCTGGCTGTGACGTGAGAGAACTGCTAATCAAGGGCTACTACCCAGCCATGGAGAACACAGGGTGGGAAAAAGTAGGTTTACAGTTGTTTGTACAGGAAATAATACAAACCCTGTGTTTCATGTATTTAACAACTGTAAACCTAGTTTTGCTCCACCCTGTGTATGATGCTGGTCCAAGACAATTTCTAAATGATAGACAATATTACATTTTTTGAAATTCTCACCTGAGAATTTACAGAGAGAGAAATAGACAGGCAGACAGACATAGAGAGACCTTGATGTGAGAGAGAAACATCTATCAGTTGCCTCCTATAAGTGCCCCCACTGGGGATTGAACCCATAACCTTTTGGTGTATGGGATGATGCTCCAACCAATTTAGCCACCTGGCCAGAGTGACAATATTACATTTCTGACAAATAATTTTTAAAGTTGAAAATCTATGCTAACAACATCTTGGGGAAATCTTTACAGGAAAGAGCAAATGCACAGGACAATTACAGTCCTAATTCTCAGCTTGCAGAGTAGGAAACATAAAATGCAGGTAACCTCTGACAGTGTTATCATGGGCTGATGAAGTTAGGTTGAATTCTAAATAAAAAAGGAAAATCCTGTTAGCAAAATGACCTTTAAGAAAGGGTTTCAACAAGCTTTTGTACTAATTGACAAAAAAACCCCATGGTAACACAATTATAAGAGCAAAAGAATCTAAGGGTTGGACACTTATTTGGGGAAAAGTGTTAGAAAAACTATTTGCATTCACAAGGAAAGGAGGGAGGTGTGAAAAGGAGGTGAAGAAATTTGACCTACATAACAATCTATATGAGGAAGTAAAATCGAGAGGCTGTTATTTGATTATAGATATTAGTTCAGGTTTCTAAGGAGAAGGGCAGAGGACTAGAAAAAAGTGATGTGCTTTAGAAGAGACAGTGATAAATTACATTAAAAAAGAAAAATAGAACATAGTGGGTGGGAGAGGGGGTTAGTGCGAGATATTTCTACTTAAACAAAAACAGAAGTGGGACTGTAATTTATCTCGGGAAGGACTAAAGATTTAAATTTAGGGGGGAAGAGGTTTAATTTAAATATGTTGATATTATATTTAAACATGTTGATATGATTAAGGCTTTGCTTCATTAATTATGTAATCAAGAAATAGTTAATGAGTGCTTGCTTGGTGCAGGCACTCTGCTGGGTGCCAGGGGACTGTGTGGGTGGGTAGCAAGATCCCTGTGCACAACTTGTTCACAGTCTCCTGGGAGAGCCAGAGCACGTGCACCTAAATACAGAGAAGACTTGGCAATGTGTTGTAATAAAACAAGGATCCCAGCAGCAGAAAAAAATATTGGGTTGGTCAAAAAGTTCATATGGTTTTTCCCGTAAAATAAAAGACACATTTTTTATTTTCACCATTAACTTTTCTGATTTGGATTTGTTGAGTATGTCGGCTAATCTCCCACATGGTATAACATTGATTGTCCTCAAAGTCTTGATTTGATCACTGTCAACTTCAACTGGTCTACCTGACCGTGGAGCATCATTCTCCAGCCAGAAGTCTCCAGCACGAAACTTCACGATCCTCTTTTGACACGTTCAATCAGTCACAGCACCTTCTCCATACACTGATCAAATCTTGTTTTTGCATTTCAGTTGTGTTTTTACCTTTCTTGAAATAATAAACATAATATACTGAAAATGTCACTTATTTTCTTCCATCTTCAATTTTAAAATGGCTATAAAAATCCACTAATTTTGATGTTTTTTAAAAAATACATGCTGATATGACAGCTGTCACAATACAATCTAATAAAATTGTTTTGAATGAAGTTAAAGACAACTAAGCACTACTAGAGCTCCCTTACAGAAAAACACAAATGAACTTTTTGGCCAACCCAATATTTTCAATTTAAGTAGACAGGAACAAATTCATGTATGAGGGAGAACCCCCCCCCCCAAACTGCTATTATCATCTGGAGGTCAGGCCCCTTGTTATACAGACTTCCTCTGCCAGGTGAGTGTTCTAGGAACCCATCTGTATCAGTGTACCAGCTGGTGTTGTTGTGAGAGGCTGTGTTCAGCTTCGGTGATTTTTTTTTGAAGACTTTCAACACATTTGCCCATTTCATGATGGGTGATTTATGAGAACAATTGCCCACACCACACTGAGTGTCAAACAGTTTTTGACCAAAAAACAGCATGACCTCCATGCCCCACTCTCCCTATTCACTGGATCTTGCCCTGAGCAACTTTGTTTCTGTTTCCCTGGGTGAAAAAATTCCTCAAAAAGAAACATTTTTTTGCTGATGTGGAAGAGGTGAAACAAAAAACCCCAGAAGCCCTAAATGGCATCAAAATCAATGAATTCAAAACTGTTTTGAGCGGTGGAAAAAAGTTTCAATGGGTGTATTGCATCA